GACGGGTGGAAACAGGCTAACATAGTTCCAATCTACAAAAGTGGCAGCAGGGAAGACCCCCTCAATTATAGACCTGTATCATTGACAAGTGTAATAGTGAAAGTATTGGAAAAACTAATCAAAACTAAATGGGTAGAACACCTAGAGAGAAATGATATAATATCAGACAGACAGTATGGTTTTCGATCTGGAAGATCCTGTGTATCGAATTTACTCAGTTTCTATGATCGAGCCACAGAGATATTACAGGAAAGAGATGGTTGGGTTGACTGCATCTATCTGGACCTAAAAAAGGCTTTTGACAGAGTTCCACATAAGAGGTTGTTCTGGAAACTGGAAAATATTGGAGGGGTGACAGGTAAGCTTCTATCATGGATGAAAAATTTTCTGACTGATAGAAAAATGAGGGCAGTAATCAGAGGCAATGTATCGGAATGGAGAAATGTCACAAGTGGAGTACCACAGGGTTCAGTTCTTGCACCAGTGATGTTTATTGTGTACATAAATGATCTACCAGTTGGTATACAGAATTATATGAACATGTTTGCTGATGATGCTAAGATAATAGGAAGGATAAGAAATTTAGATGACTGTCATGCCCTTCAAGAAGACCTGGACAAAATAAGTATATGGAGCACCACTTGGCAAATGGAATTTAATGTTAATAAATGTCATGTTATGGAATGTGGAATAGGAGAACATAGACCCCACACAACCTATATATTATGTGAGAAATCTTTAAAGAATTCTGATAAAGAAAGAGATCTAGGAGTGGTTCTAGATAGAAAACTATCACCTGAGGACCACATAAAGAATATTGTGCAAGGAGCCTATGCTATGCTTTCTAACTTCAGAATTGCATTTAAATACATGGATGGCGATATACTAAAGAAATTGTTCATGACTTTTGTTAGGCCAAAGCTAGAATATGCAGCTGTTGTGTGGTGCCCATATCTTAAGAAGCACATCAACAAACTGGAAAAGGTGCAAAGACATGCTACTAAGTGGCTCCCAGAACTGAAGGGCAAGAGCTACGAGGAGAGGTTAGAAGCATTAAATATGCCAAAACTAGAAGACAGAAGAAAAAGAGGTGATATGATCACTACATACAAAATAGTAACAGGAATTGATAAAATCGACAGGGAAGACTTCCTGAGACCTGGAACTTCAAGAACAAGAGGTCATAGATTTAAACTAGCTAAACACAGATGCCGAAGAAATATAAGAAAATTCACCTTCGCAAATAGAGTGGTAGACGGTTGGAACAAGTTAAGTGAGAAGGTGGTGGAGGCCAAGACCGTCAGTAGTTTCAAAGCGTTATATGACAAAGAGTGCTGGGAAGACGGGACACCACGAGTGTAGCTCTCATCCTGTAACTACACTTAGGTAATTACACTTAGGTAATTACAAAGAAAGGCCCAAAGGAGCGCCTAGAAGACAGTAGACTCCTCACTCTGCACATGTGCATGAATACAACAAAAGCTGTGCCAAACCCAAGGTGATAACAAAAGATGTCCCCACACCAGAGAGACTCCGAAACCTCACATGCATCCAAAAAGGAGAGGAAATACCCAAATCCAAAGGAGGCAGGGACCATCAAAGTTTCTTGCAGGAGGCATGTGAAGAGAGCCTCCTGAGCCGTCGAAGGAGGGAAGCCTCTGGAAGAATGATCCCAATGGGCCGAAAGGAACAGAAGCCTAGGGAAAGTTGCACCCAAATATACTTATATATACCTGTAGCCTACCTGGAGAGGGTTTCGGGAGTTCTTCTACTCCCCGAGCCCAGCTTGGGGGCCAGGATAAAGGGAGGAAGGACATGAAAACCTATTCCCTGCAACAGGAGACTCTCTGCAGAGGAAACAAGGAACCACCTAGAATCAAAAGGGACCCAAGGTCCATATCAGACTTTCCTAATCCCCGGAAAAGCTCTGCCCCGGGGTTCGAGGGTCCCTTGGGGCTGAGCAAGCGTCCACACTTGTGGGATAGAAAATTGGAGTCCAAGGGCGAGGCTTCAAAAGAAGGGAGGGGGGAGGGGAGTTATCAGGGGAAGTGCCAAGCCTTTACAACTATATAGCACTGGGATGGGGTCAGGTTGAGGATTTGGGATGGGACGGGGTGGAAAGAATGGACCAAGGTTAGGCTGGAAAGAAAACCCTGAAGCCTCAGCAGGACTAGCCAGCTCAATTGTCTCCGTACCTGATTTTGAAAGGGGCAAGATATGGAGCTGGCCGAGCCACATCCCAAGCTGAACCTTGCCCTGACCCAGAAACACTCAAGACGTTTTGGGGCCAGAGCAGAAGGAGGAGGATCAGAAGAAGGGCAAACCATACACAAAGGGAAAGGAGGTGTAGCAGACAGAGCCAAGATGGAAGTCACAAACACCTCCAATTCCGGGTCCCTAAACACCAGGCAGGGCAGTTTCAGGGTAACCAATCAGGCACACACAACCCAGACCACCAGAAACTCGTAAAGCGAACTCGTAAAGCAGAAGCTGCCCGACATGCCCTAACAGCATCAGGAGAGGTCAGGAGCAAAGCCATAAGAAGTAAGCAATCCCCAGAGGACTCAGGTTTGAAGATGTCATCAACCCAACAGGCAGCATGGCAGAGGCAGGAGAAGTGATCGTCGACCCGTGGCACGAACGAAGAGCAACACTCAAATTCGCACAAGGCAAGAGAAGGTTCAAAGGGAATATCCCTTCAAACTTGCAGGGAATTTCCAAGGCCTGAAGGGTAAAACAAACAGGTCACCCAAATGCTGTAGAAGCTAGGCTGGACCTAAAAGTAATCCGACAGTATGGGTTACACAGGGCCCCGCCACCCAAAGTCGCACCCGACCTGGGTAAAGACAGAAGGCACAAGACCCCTGACTCACCCTGGGCAAGGGTCACCACAAGTGAGGAGGACCTTGAAGGGAGCAACTACTGAACACGCCAGAGGAGATAACTCTGGCAATGCAAGGACAGCATTAGGGAGCACACAGGGATGCTCCAAGCATTCTATAAGTCAGGATTACCTTGTAATGCAGTATACAAGTAAAGCCATTAAAGCAAAAATCCAAAACACTTAGCTTAAACAGAGGAGCCTACACAAAAGAGAGAAAATTTTGCAACCTCTACAGCAGTCCTGTTGTCATCACAACAGAGTAAGAACTGCCAGCTGGGCTCACCACTATCCCCAACAATGTTTGGGGAGTTCATTAGGCAGATTGTGAGATTTTAGTCTCTTTTGAATCCAGCAGTGATTTGTTTTGACCCACTTTCTGTCTAGATGCCTCCCCCAGTGAAGTGGTGAAATGTCACCACTCTTTGTGCCTCTGTGAGGAGGGGGCCAGGTTCTGGCTCTGATCCCCAATAGGCCTAAGAACTCCACGGCTGATGCGACCTAATAGATGGGAACCATATCAGTGTATAGCTTCAGAGAGCCACAATGAATTCCTCAAGAAAAAAACTTTAAGTTCAGAGGTTTGCAACTAGACAAGTCCCAGAATTGAGAGGACTCAGCTATTAGAATGATTGAGGGAACTCACTCTCATAAGCTTAGAGGAAAGAAGAAGACCAGAGGGGAAATGATCACTTCATACAAGATCCTGAGAGGAAAAGACAAAGTGGACAAAGGAGACCTATTTAAAGTAAAAGGAGATAGAACAATAGGACATTAGTGGAAACTAGACACACATTTGACTCTTAGAGATGTAAGGAAGTTTTTGTTCCTTGTAAGGAAGTTTTGTACCTTGAAATGTGAAGTTGTTGAAGTCAATTCCATCCACAACTTTAAAAAAAAACATTTTGAAAATGTTAATATTTAGAGAGGTAATTAGCACACCAGTTATAAACGGCTAGGAGGAAGAACAAAAAAAAAAGCTAGATCTCACTACCCTCATAGTAACTGACAAGTAAGCACTACTAGCCAAACAGAGCAAGCATTTATAACAAAAGGGCTACTCCAGAAGGTTAAGTTTCATTCTTAGTAAAAAGTAAAAGAAAAATTTGAATGTGAATATAATTATTAACAGGCCCACAGTAACAAAAACCAGGCATTGAAAAGTGACTTTTTTTAGTGAAAAATGTGAAGCTCACCAACTCGACAGTCGTAAGCCTGAGGTGAGAGAAATAAAACACTGAAAAAGGAATTCATGTCCAAAGGATTAAATGGAAAGAAGACAAAAACACTAAAATGCAATCCAGTGACCAATTAAGGATACAGAGTATGAGCCGACTAATGGTTAAAGAATGGGCTAAACCGCTGAAGAAAGAGGGGAAGGATACATCCAAATGTCAGCAAGAGAGAGGCACAGCCAAAGCCAAACAAGATGAATCAACAGTATTAGGCATCAAGCAAAAATCCAGAAGATTGAGAAAAAGAAAGACATTGCAATGAGAGAGGAAAAGGACTTCCAATTATTATACACAATGTACTGAATCACAAGAGTATCCAGACTACAATTCCCCAGATCTCCGAATTATTGAGAAAAAACAAATCCAGATATGGTTCCTTGAACCTTGATTATCCAGATATGTAGTCTGTACATGAGAGGATCCCACAATTTGGATTTGAGATGTGATAACAAAAAATTTAAACTTATTTTCTTCTTTCTTTATTTGGAAAACTGTGGAATTAATACTTAGATTCTGGCCCCCCTGCCCTTGATATTGTCAATATTCTTTCTGTTGGCTCCAGACTTGTCCAAATAAAGAAAGAAGAAAATAAGTTTAAATTTTTTGTTATCACATCTCAAATCCAAATTGTGGGATCCTCTCATGTACAGACTACATATCTGGATAATCAAGGTACAAGGAACCATATCAGGATTGGTTTTTTAAGCTAGCAAAATGTTTGTGAGGTATGGATTGTATAAGAAGCCTGCAGAGATACACTTATATTCCAGGAATCAGCTCAAACAAATTTTAAACACCGGTTTTTCTAGGCAGATTCAAATTTGCAATATTTGGATTGTTAACTCAGTAGAGTTACCACTCCCATCATTCAAACATTCACTCACCATGTTCACTCACTGTCTGATCAACTTCATGAATAACTGGCAAGCCAGAGGTAAAAAAGTCCATGATGACAGCAAAGGCCTCTGGTTTAATGGTACGCCATTCGGCTCCATCATCCTCCTGCCATTAAAAAATATAATGAGTAATATGATATAGAAAAGAAATATTTCATTGCATTTTACGTTTAAAAATAACTTGTTCTTTGTATAAAGAACATAGTACGTTTAAAATTTTGTAACTTATTACTACTAAAGTTTTCAATACTCGGGTCACACCCAATAAAATGACATCAGTTACATAGGCATCCATAAATTCCTCCCAAACTGAGACACAAAACTGGTAGGCAATACCATTAAACATAAACCAAAGAGAAGAGGATGAAAAATAAAAAAACCTCAGAAAACCAGCACTGAATGTAATGAAACGCCATTTTCTGGGCGAGCCCCAGAGGCTCCGTGGAGCTACCGGACTGATATACTCTATATTAGTCTGAAGCTTCAGTCACATGCAATCCTTATGCCTACCTGGAACCACGAGAGAGAACCTGGTTCCCTCAGAGAGGCGAAGGGAACAATGGCCTATGAAAGCTCCACTCTTGGAGAGTATATTCATGTCTGCCATCGACCAAGGCTAGGTAGGAGGGAGAGACAGGGACGCTGTCCAGGAATCGCAAACCAGACTCAGTCAAGTCCAAACTTGGGACGGAACTAATTGGGACTTCCTCCAGTTCACCAGGAACCTGAACCCGGCGAGCTGGGAAAGAACCAAACCCCTGGCGAGCAGACAAATGGACCGTCAGGAAGCCCATACCAGCCAGTCGTCAAGGTAGGCCATAACCCAAACACCTAGCAGATGAAGACAGGCCAACATGACCTGGGGTATGACGTGTGAAGATGCGAGGTGCCAGATTCAGCCCAAAGGAAAGCCAACAAAAGTGGTGGGAGTCCTCCCTTGGTAGGACTCCAACCAAGCCAGAACCCAAAGTAACAGCTGGACCGAGGGGAAGAGGTACAGGTAACCAGACCTCGTCCAGTCTTGCCGAAGGCGTCCACCGCTACAGCCTCACAGTTGGGGAAGGGCGCTACATAGATTGGAAGATGCCGACACCAAGCCAACGCGAACGGGGTCTGTGTCCGGGAGACCGTACACGTCTGGCAGAGCCAACTTAAGGATTCAGCGCCGACCGTCCATTCTGTGGACAGGGGAATTAACCGAGACAGGTCATCCGCGAAAACGTTGGACACTCCCCAGAAATGAATCACACGGAGAACCAAACCCTGAGAAGCCAGCAGACGAGCCACTCGAAGCAACCACCCCAAAAAGGCAAGGACTGAAAAGAACCCCCGCAGTTCAATGAACCACCGGAGAACAGTACGACTGGAGCCGGATGGTCGAACCCCGAGCGACCCGAACCCTCCGAAGCAACATCCAAATCACCATGAATTCCCAAACAGTGCTGTGAGCCCGATGGACCCCATCGCTCCTGGTTGGCCTGGTGAGCACTGGTCACAAAGCCCCAGCCATGAGATGATACATCTGTGAACACATCGAGCAAGGGCTCGGGTAGGCGCCAAGGCACGGAACCCTGAAAACCCCGAAGAGGTGGTCATTGACTCAGCAACCAACGCAAGGCCCCCAGAGGACGAACCCAGCGATCGTGAGAGCAGCAGAAGGAACAGCCCCAAACTTCAGGTTTGGCTGAAGCCAAACCCGACCCAGCGAGTAGACCAGCACAGTGAAGTTAAAACTTCCGCACAACTGCTGGAGCAACCGCCAAGTGACCCGGGGAGCCGTAACCAGACACAACACATGATGCACCCCGGCCTGACCAACCAAGCATCAACAACCCACGGCCCCCTCTGGAACGCAGCCGTCTCATTCTTCACCAGAAAAGAGGGAGACGGTTGCAAGCGAACAAAACGACCACTAGAACCAAAAGAGCAGAAACCTCGGCGCCGGAAGAGAGCATGAAGCTCCCCAACCCGACCCCCCCCAAGGCCAATGCCAACAGGAAAAGAGCCTTAGAAAAACAATCCCGAACAGAAGGGGCCACAACAAACCGAGGCAAAGAGAGAAACGAGAGCACGCGGTCCAAGGACCAAGACGACTCAGAGAACATTTTGCAAATGCAGATAGGGCAGTATATGTAGTCATGAGTTCTGAGGTACACGTGCTGCACACTGAGCTAAACAATTGAGTCTCGATAACGAGGCAACAATGGTGAAAAGGAAGATGGACTAAAGATGTTAAGATCTCACCAATGGCACAAGAACTACCAAGAGTGGCTCTGTCAAGGCCAAATGATAAGACTACCCCAAATGTGATACCATCTGCAAATATCTTGTGACTGGGAAATGGAGCCATATCAAACCAACCAGGTCCACATATGGTCACTTGAATGTCACAACACAGAAAATGGAAGCTGTAACAAGTTGCCCCCTAATCCAACAAAGATGAGCCAGCACATGAGGCGATATAACACATTCACTCTCACTTGGCCCAGGAGATACACCATACAGCCAAGTTCAGATACCCTAACAGACACACAAAAGTTCTATGGAAATTCCTGCACTTGTTCAGCACTAGTCGGAGAAGGGTGCATAAAGACAACAAGATCAACTCCAAGAGAAAAAGAGAGGCTGCCTTGACCCCACCCAAGTGAGACTGAGCCAGCTCTGGCTGAGACTTCCAGAAAATGACGGAAAAAACAAAGTGGATCGGTATGTTACAAACCAGATTCCTGACCACAGACAAGCTTTGCAACTGGGCATTAAGACAAACAAGTCATCGTAATAGACTGGGTCTCTCCTGAGATGCAACTCAAAAGACAACCACCTGAATCAACTTGGTAAACATCCTAGGCGCCAGGACGCCTTCTGGTATGGGTACATGCCAGAAGGCGTCCTGCAGGTCAAGGGAAACAAGCCTAGCCTGCCACAATACTACATGATTAATCTGAGACATAGTTGTTGTACAGAATGGAGTGTCAGGAAATATCAGAGTATATTTTGAGAGTTTTCATACCGTTCCAATAATTTAGATGTTTTATCGTTTCTATGCATGCTGTATCTGTTCTTTGTATTCCCTCTAATTCTGGAATCTCTCCTGCTCTGAAAGGGAAAGTGAGTACTGAGCAGTACTCAAGACAGGACAGCACCAGTGATTTAAATAGTATTAGCATTGCTGTGGGGTCTCTGGATTTCAACATTCACATTTTCCATCCTATCATTTTCTTGGCCGCCACTATATTTGCTCGATTATTTTGACTAAATGTCAGGTCATCAGACATCATAATTCCCGGATCTTTTACATGTTGCTTTCCTTCTAAGAATATGTCTGATTGTGTCCTGTACCCTGTGTTTCGTGCAAGTTCCTCGTTTCCAACTTACATCACCGTTAACCCTTAACATGCTCAGGGTTTAATATCCTGTCATCCCCACAGGCGCATGTCATTTTGAAAAAAAAAAAATTATTTTTTCTTTCTAACCTGTTAACACTTTCGCGCTTTATATTAGAGATAACTCGTCACTGGTTTTTCTTACGATTCCGCATAACTGCCTACTTTTCTCGTCAATCGAAAAAATATTTCTATAAATTCCATTTTTTAACCGAAATGGATGGGGATACTTTTGTTTTGTAGAGAATTTATTTGCGAATTTTTTGGTACCAGAATGAATATTATATCACATAAACTTCTATGAGTAAAAAAAAAAATACACAAAGTATGTTTGGGGGTGTGGCGAGCGTGTGGCAGTGGGTTCCCTTTAGCCGTTGATATATCCAACACGTGGGAAATATTTGTATGTGTTATGTATATGTCTGTGTAGGGAATTTTACTGCGATCACTGTCATACAAATTATAAAATGTTTCAACAAGTATAAACATGACAAACATCAAACGAACGAAAACAATGCGTTCGTTTCTGCCGCGAACACATACTGAGCGACGTGGTTCTATATTTGGCGCTTCTCTTACACATGCTTTGTACCAATGTTATACAGTTCATCTTACAGAAAATTTTATTGCGAACACATTGGTATAAAAAAGAAATATGTACATAGAAAAGTAGGGTCAGGAAACGTATAAACTTTCCAAGCATGATTTCCCCCCTGTGTTTTCGCCAGTGCGCTCGCGGCTAACTACTCTCCACTTCACACACTCTTGCGGGTGGGCAATTACCTATATTAAACATTCATATGCATATGTCCGTGTAGAGAATTTTATTGCGATTCCAATGATACCAAAATTAGCGATGTAGGACAACTGTAGGCTTCGCAACCATTAAGAAAGTGGAAACATTTTGTTGCTGTTTGGCGCTCTCGGCGAGTGATCTGCATAGTTTTTTATTTGGTGTTGATACTCCTTATGCTTGGGCGGCATTTTATAGGTATGCTCTTATAGACAATTTCATTGCGAACACAGTGATACCAAATTTAAATACGTGCGCCTTCAATTATTGTCAGGACAGTCAAAAGAGTGTACACTTTTTCGGTCTTACCGCGTAGGTGCGCGAAGTGCCGAAAGCATCTGGGGTATTGTTTTTTTTTGAACGCCGAGAGCGCGAAAGTGTTAATTTGTGTTCACTGATCACGGGAAAAATAATAAAAAAATCGTAAGTGGCATATATTGCCCACTATAGGGCGGGGAAGTCTGGCAAATTATAGGCGCTGACTCAGCGTGCGTCCCAGGCGGTCTGTTGCTCGCAAGCTGTCAGGCCAGAGTTGCCACAAAGAGATAATTACCGAATTATTTCAATGTCTCTGATTGATTTTTCATACTTTTTTTGCTGTAATATTATTCAATAGTGTGTAGTTTGATATATTTATATAATAAAATGAGTGAATCGTTGGTGTACTCAAAAATATGGTGTGCATATTGTTGATTCAATTATGTTCATCAATCAGTGAACAAATACTTTGTTGGTTATTACACTATAAGCACAGGTTATATATAAGTATTTGCATGTTGTGTTCACTATAACGAACCACTAAGTAGCTATTATGAGTCAAAAAGTAATGAGGAGTGACCGCCGTGTACCAGCCAGCCACTCCCGCCCTCCCTCCAGTCATCTGACTCACCCTCATTCTCCTCCCACAATAATGTTTTTGCTATAATTCACTATATACAGATGTTATATATAAGTATCTACATGTTTTGTTCACCATAACTGTACATCTAAGCTTGTATGGTGAGTAAAGGCACAGAGATGTGGCTAGTCACACAGATCGGCGGCCGCCCTCAAGGTCAGACGCACTAATATTTCTCCTCCAACAATACTGTGTGGTGTTATTACGCTACATATCTTATATACAGACGTTATATATAAGTATCTACATGTTTTGTTCACCATAACTGTACATCTAAGCTTTTATGGTGAGTAAAGGCACAGAGATGTGGCTACTCACACAGTCAGCTGATCGGCGACCGCCCTCAAGGCCAGACGCACTAATATTTCTCCTCCAACAATACTGTGTGGTGTTATTACGCTATATACACACACACACATTATATATAAATATCTACCTGTTTTATTCATCATACTTGTACAAATAAACTGGTATGGTGCCCAAAGACCATCGTGGTAACCAGTAAACAACACCGTCGTCTGCACGGTGGCGTCATGCAGACGACGCCACCGCCCTCACCAAAATGGCGGCTCCAAACCTTCTCTTGCTGTTTATACCCTCTATACACACGTTATATATAAGTATCTACATTTGTGTTCACCATAGCGAACCACTAAGCTGGTATGGTGAGTGCAGTCAATAAAAGGTGGCCACACACAGTCAAAAGACATTGCCACCACCCTCCCTCCCACAGCATTACACCTCCTTCCATGGCGCACAGCGCTAAATATCACCACAATCCTGCTATTATCAGAACCCTGGTCAGTTTTATCACAGTCAGGGGTCTTCTGTAATAATATCATCGCTACATAATAGCATGAACAAGTATAATTTGGCATTTTTAGGCGATGCTGTGGTCACAAGCTGAACAGCAGTGCTGTTAGCTCATGCTGTGTGCGTCAGGCTTGGTTGCTCACCCAATACTGAGGCCAATAACACCCGGGAGTTTGGCCCACGATTTTTTTAAAAAATGGCGTCTGTTTACAAGAGCCCTGATGAAGGTGTGGTGAACCCAGTGTATCCGCAGGCTGTTTAAATCTTGCGTAGTACTCCAACACATCATATGACGTGATGCACAGTTTACTGGAACAACGTCCAGCACGTCATATGACGTGATGCGCACTTTAAGGGTTAAACATCATGTTATTTTCCGTTTCCCGATCGAAGACTTTATTTATATCAGCTTGTAGTTTTCCAGTCATCTAAAGAGGAAATTTTCATGCTGATCTTTTACTACCTGCAAAGATTGACACAAAGCTGTGACTAATATTTTTGTCTATATCCGAGATAAGAATGAGAAATAGCAGTGGTACACGGAAAGCCCTGGGGTACAGAGCTTTTTATTGCACTTGAACTTGATCATATATGATTGACTATTACTCTGCAATCTGACAGAAAGTTGAAAATCCAATGCCCCAATTTATCTATTATTCATAATGATCTCATTTTATGGGCTTATGTTAATACGACCCGTCTCTGGGAGTGGATTAAATTCGTAAATGGAGGTACCACTGTATATACATTATAAACAAATATATAAGAGATATGTGCACTGGTGACATCTAGAAGTGATTCTGCATGCATAAGGGGTCATGTCTAGTAGTGGGTTTGCACATACACTGGTCATGTTAAGAAGTTATTCTTAACATGTACTGGTCATGTTAAGAAGTTATTCTTAACGTGTACTAGTCATGTCTAAAGGTGACTAGATGTGTATTGGTCATATCTACAGGTGATTACATGTTCAATGGACATGTCTAAGTGTGGTTCTACATGTGCACGGTCATGTCTAGAGGTGGCTCTGCTGATGGCATATCTAGGAGTGGTTCTTCATGTAGAGGTCATGTCAAGAGGTGCTTCTCCAGGCACACTTTATGAATGGTAAACGAAATGGTGCAAATTTTAGCAAAAGGTACTTATATAAACACACACACTAAAATTACCTTTGTTACAGTGATAAAATCAGTTGATAAGAAAATGCCACAAACCCCTTCAATTCTAAACAACAATTTTGCTAATGGTGATTTCTGAGCTGCAGTTATGCTCGTGAAGTTTGCAGTTCCCGACTCCAGCACCTGCAATGTAGTAGTGATTTATCACAATATGGCAGTTATTATAAATAATGTTTGTGCCTGTATATAATACAAAATTTTGCACAACAAATTAAAAAAACCCAGCGTTGAATGTAATGAAACGCCATTTTCTGGGTGAGACCCGGAGGCTCCCCGGAGCTTTACCGGCTGATATGCTAATGTCAGACTTTGGCATCAGTCATGTGTATGGAGTTCTAGGGCCTACCAGGGACCATGAGCCAGAACCTGGCCCCCTCAGAGAGGCAAGGGGAGCAATGGCCTATAGAAACCCCCGTGTGGTTGGAAGCATTCTATGTCTGCCATCGACCGGGTCAAGCATCCAGAAAGGTAAGCATTCCAAAACAAACCCCAATTCTGGTGAAAATTGCTACCTAAGCCGAACTAGTGGATAGAACTCTTCAACAGAAAACAAGGAAACTAGTATGACGTCATACGTCACCGCGCCGCTGTCTGCGCAGCTCCCCCCTCCCCGAGAGGGGGAAGGGGGAGCCCCAGACCTCCCACGCCGGCTATCCACCCATCAGTTCTGAGGCTGGATGTCAAAACACACGAAAAACGCCGACCGGAGGGAGGAAGGGTTGCCGGGGAGCCTCCGGGTCTCACCCAGAAAATGGCGTTTCATTACATTCAACGCTGGTTTTCTGGGGGGAGCCCCGTCGGCTCCCCGGAGCTAACTACCCACAGAGGAAGGTCAAAGGGACAAAACCGGGAGGCGGACACCACGCACCCCCAAGGAGGCGAGACAACCGGCAGCAAACGCCAACCCAAGGCGCCACAGCCCCGAAAATCCCGGGAACAACACGAGAACCACGAGCAGCAAGGCCCCTGCATGAACACCAAAAATCCATGCCCGAAAGACTGCAAGGCCACGTCGCCCAGACGGCAGCGAGAGCAGCGAAGCCACGAACGCCACAGGCATGAGGGAAGAACCCAGGCAGCTTAGCCGCAAGAACACGGCTGACCACCCGGGACACCATCACCCGCGAACTGGGAAGAACAGAACCGGATCAACGCAAAACGCGCTCCGGACCCAAACGCCGTGGCACGCAAACAACAGCGGAGGGCCGCCACTGAACACAAAAACGACACACCCCCGGCCCGACCAACGAAGCACCAACAAACCCTGGACCCCTCCAGAATGCAGCAGCCCCACCCCGCGCCAGAAAAGATGGAGACTGCTGCCATCAAACAACCAAAACGCTAAAACCGAAGGAGCAAGAAAACTCAGCGAACCGACCCCCAGAGGCAAAGGCCCAAAGGAAAGAGCCGACGAAAAAACACACCAGAACCGAAGGGGCACTACCAACCGAGGAGAAGATAGAGCACGCTGACCAGAGACCAGGATGGTGCAAGCGGCGCACGAACAGGCCGGAGGTGAAACGACGCACAAGACAGCTGACTAACGGTGCAGAAGCAACACCAAGACCGAAAGCAAGCTGAAGGGGCTCCGCCTGCGCCGCACGAAAAGAGGCGACAGTATGTGGCAAGACGACGGCCCCCAACCCCCACTAGAAAACCAAGCCGAGAGTAAACCAAGCTAACAAGAGTAACCACCTAAGAAGGGACAGGAAAAGGAAGGACCGCCAAAATACCCATACTGCCGCCAAGAGAAGCACGCAGGTGGGACACCTACCACGAAGCCACCCGACCACCAACCGGAGGCGAGACCACGAGGCAGAACATAAGCAGCCCCGACAAGGCCCCCCCGAGCCCTGGAAAAAGGCGGAGCCGCGAGAAGATCTCGGGCGCGACTGCCGAAACCCAGGCGGCACAAGGAGATGGAACGTCTGCCGAACAGAAAAACTCCCCAAAGCATGCAAGCCCGCCAGGAGTTCAGATACGACGGGTCCGAAGCGAGACATCGCAAGAAACCCCCCCCCCCCAAAAAAAAAACAACAACCGGCAGGGCAAGCTAGGAAAACCAAAGAAGGCGGAAGGGTCGCCGCCAGAACAGGACCCGAACCAAGGGGCACGAACAACTGCAATAGACCGAGACAAAGAAGCACATCACAGGACACAGGCTGACCAACGCCTAAGAACACACGCAGAACATCCCTGCTGCAGAGGAGGCAGGAAGAAAGAGCAGAAGCACAAAAAACCCCAGGAGAACAACCAGGGGTGGACAATCAGGCAGGAACAAAAACCCCACGCAATCCCAGGCACAAAACGGCAGCAAAGTGCCACTCCACAACCGGACACAGGAACAAGGACACGCCACCGTGAAACACGGTACCAATGCACACGTGCAGCAGCAGCAACAGGCACTACTGCAACATGCAACATGTAAATAGCAACTCCCCTCTGCAAAGGCAGAGAACGGAGCAGGCAGACCCCAGACAGGGCCAACGGAGACACGACAAAACCCTGCAGGCCCAGAAACCTGCACCAGGCGACCAACGGCGAAGAAACCCCGCTCGATACCTGTTGGATGAGGTACTGGGAGCTCTTTTACACCTGAAGCCCGGCCCAAGGTCAGGCCAGACCGGCCAGAGGATGGCCCACCAGGCAGCTGCTAGGAGCAGTCCACCGGCCCACATACCCCCACAACCAGGACGGGCCGGAACTGCCATACGAAAACAGGCCAGTGCGCCCTGGAAGTCCACGGACGAACCAGCAAGAAGGCTTATGCTCGCAAGTAGGTCGTGTAACAAACACAGACCACTGATGGTAATACAGTGTTCCCCAAAAGTGCCAATAGCACCACTGCACTCCACTGGTACTATCCCGCAAGTTCTACCAGATAGGCGGGACCCAAGAGCCAGAGCTCAAATCCTGCAAGCACAGCCAGGAGCCTCACCAGGTGAGTACAGAACCAACCCTACAACCCCCACACCTCACAACATTAAAAAAGGAGGGTCCCCTGAATGACTCCAGCATGGGTTGGACATGCACATGAGGGGGACAGGAAGGGGTGATAAAGGGACAGTCACTGGTGTGCGAACGGTCTCAGTCGTACAAAAATATACCTAAATAAAGACAGGTATATAAACACCGCCGCATCCAGCGCCCGGCCAAAAGACGCCAGACCGCAGAAACTCACCTGGCGAATGGTGGCACGAACTTGACACGACTCAACCGTGCCCAGAAGAACTTGGGAGCACCGCCAGGTGAAGTCGCCAGAGCCGGACCCTGCCGGACCCGCAGGAGAGCAGGGAGAGGCGAAGGAGGCGGTCCACACCCATGACACAGGGAAAACCGCGGTGTCCTCCCCACAACTGGGAACCAGGACACCCCCGGCACGAAGGGGCACATACCGCAGCCAGGGAGAAGAACGAGAGGCGAAGCACTGTAGCAAAAAAGGCCGCAAAACCCCAGCACTGAAACACCGCCCAGACCAAAACAAACTCCACGGCGCATGCGCATAACACGCTGGCCGAACCGCACACCCTCCCTGCGGGAAGGCGCCAGCCAGGACTACTGCACGAGAAAAGTAGCCAAAAGAGGAAGCAGGAACAATAAAACCGGCCAAAGAAGCAAAGAGCCCAAAAAAGGAATCCAACCGGGCGACAAGTAGCCCAACCGGGCGACAAGTAGCCCAACCGGGCGACAAGTAGCCCAACCGGGCGACAAGTAGCCCAACAGGGCGACAAGTAGCCCAACAGGGCGACATGTACAAGGAGCCGACAGACGTTCCAATAATGCGGGAAGTAGCGAAAAACCTTCCCGTACCCTCGAGAACACAGAAGCCAACACTAGTCCCGAAGGCACACGAAGGCGCAGGCGCACCCGAGATCAGAAGTCACGCAGAACCCCATCGAATGGGGAAACATGACAAAAACACCGTCCCAAAAAGGGGGGGAGGAAACATCCACCCACAGGACGGAACCAACCGACTCAAAGGCCAAGGAACCGAGCCCGGGGAGGGGCCGACGTCCAACAGCACGTACGGCGAGTGGGGAGGAAAGACCCCACTCCGCATAACCACAAGCCCCGCCTAGAGGGGGATAAAAACCCCCACGGGGTCTAACGGGGCCAAGGCTCCCCCAAGTCAGCCCCTCCCCAGCCCCGGGAACCTTACACGACAGGCCCCGGGGCCGAGCCGTTCCCCCAAAGCCCCGGCCGTACCAGAAAACCGGGGCAGCCGTGAAAACACTACGGAAGGGAGCCCACTGGCAGACTCATACAACACGGCTGGAGGAACTGGCCCAAATGCCCCCGTCACTACCCCGGAAGGGGAATTCCCCGAGACTGCCCGAGTCTCAACACCACCAAAAACCCCGCCCCGAACCAACAGACGGTAAGGAACCGGATGCAGGCAGGAAGGGTGAACCAGGGGAAAGACAAGGGGGCGTGGATGGAACCGAAGCAACCAACACCCCCAAGTCCCAAAACGAACTACAACAGGGCAGCCCCGGGGCTCCCGGGAAGGAAACCACGAGAACGTTGCCACCACCAAGGCTCAAGTGCAACGCCCCTGCTGCCCGCACCCGCTTTGTTAGCACAACTGGGTAACCGAGCCACAACGAGCAACCAAACTCGCAGGACTCCGGGTCGAAGGTGTCACCGACCCCACAGGCAGCAGACGGAGGCAAAACAGAGAGTCACCCAGAGACAAAAGGTGAGAGCAACCCTCAAACTCGCTGGAAGCGAGGGGGGGACTCTGGGGTCACACCCATCGGACCCGCGCGCCCCCAGGGGTTTCCCAGGGTCCCGAGCGTTTACTTTAAGAGGACTCGCGCTCAGGTAATTCCAGGCAGGGTACTGCCAACCGGCACCCAAAGCTACCAAACAACTTTCTAAGAGCTGAACCCCCGGGACGTGTACACTCACGGGGACCTAACAGGGGGTACCACCAGAAAATACTCAGAACACAAGGGACACAAGGGGCAAGAACGAAGGCAGACCCCCCCACCAGGTAGATAAACAAAAGAAAAAAGAAAACCCCGCAAGAGGACAGCGTACCCAAGCGGAACAGAGCCGGCTGCTATGATTGGTAAAGACAAGCTGCACAGTACCCCGCGCCCCACCAGTGCAAACACTGC